CAGGCCAAATAATGTTAGTAGCTGATGGATCTACTAATATCTCTGATTATGACAAGTTCGCTAATTAAATATCGTGTATCTTCAATATTATATTAAATATTAATACAATTTAAATTAATACTTAACATTATTAGTAAAATTTTGTATCTATCGCGAAATACAAAACGCCTTTGGTCGACTTCCAGCTCGATTTGATTTGTCCATCGTTTGTGCAGCTTTGCAACTGTTATGAAATTTTTTAATATATTTTGTCTTGCTCTTAGTTCCTGGATCTAAATGTATAAATCAATCACATATATTAAAAAAAATCTTACAACAATTGCAAAACTGTTTTTTGCTGAACACAGCCCATTTGTGCACGAATTGAAAACAGTGTTTCCGCAAAACAATATCGTATTTCAATTTCGAATGACGATGCTTCTGACAAAAGCGTTGGGCTTCCAAGAAAGAGAACAATTGGTTTTCACTCCACGCGTTGCTCTTGGGTTAATAGCTTGGGAGAGCGGCTTCGTTGATTCTTTCAGGTATACGGGCGTGGAATTGCATTCGTGAAAGTTGTTAAATTGTCCCGGTTTGTCTAACACATAAATATCGTGATAACGCCGAATATAATCGTTCAGACTGAGTCGAAAGATTTCTCTGAAGTTTTATTAAAATCTACGGTGCGGAAGTAATTCGTCCCTTCTTCGATAGACACTTAGCTCGTGGGCGAAGAGAAATGCTCACTGAATCATTCATTTAAAACCTCTTGTGCAGATATTTGATCGTTGAAGGAAAGCCTATTAATACTTTAATTTTAATATTTAAAGATCAAAGAGGGATTTCACAAATGATTTAAAAAATCTCGGTAATCTGAAAATTCTTAAATTTGCGTTTCGCATTTTCACTTTGTGATAGAAGTTTTGATTTGATTAAACAATAAGAATCTTATTGGACCGTGTGAGAATACAACCAATAGGAAATATAGGCTCATATATTTCAAATATTAATTTGAAGCTGGATCTTTAATGCTTAAATAATTCCATTTGAATTTGTATATACTATATATATATATATATATGTTTGCATATATACATACATATATACTATATTTGTAGTCATTTGAACTGCGCATTTATTACCTATTTCTTATTGATTTAATTTGATTATTACATTATTATCCAAAAAAGTTGACTCAACCTTTTATTTTTCTTAATTAAGACCGATATCTAGCTTGCAATTCGTTAACAATTTCGGACACGCGAAAGTCGGGAAATCTGCAAAAGTTTACTTTCATATATCGATCGCATATCTTTCTCCAACTCCGTCGCGCAACTGTTTCGCTGATTTCACTTTTGCCAAGACAAACTAATTTCTCCGAGCTACGATTCCCCGAGAAAACCGTCGCTCGATAGCTTCGAGATGTGATGCACGAACGAATGAACGAACGGAGGGAGAGATTTGCTTTCGCCTCGAACGGCTCGAATTCGACGTCGCTCGCTCACTCGCTCGCTTGCGCTTGATTATGAAACGTCCTGTACGAGGCGATACTTTCACTATCGCGGCCAAGTTTCATAATTATTATTATCGAGGCCATACGTAGGTCGAAGAGGAGACTGTCAAGAGATGGAGAAAAGGGTTGGGCTCGTCTTTCACTAACCATCGCTTCGAACAATGGCGCCTTAATTAGAGGAAAGAGAAAGAACTAATTTTATTTTATATACAGAGTCCGAATGGCACTTGTGTGCAAACGATACGTTCCTCGATAAAATCAACAATGACTTTCCCTTGACGAAATTTTCATGGAAATTATTATACGTTATTCAAATTTAATTTTGTTATCGACGCGGATCTTTTAATATAGGAATTTAATTAAAGCTATATTTACTTGCAAAGTTTTACTTTTAATAGGAATTTAATTACACTGTTGGAAAATTCGTATTGAATATAATACATTTCACGTTTCAATAATAACGTTCCACTCAAATTTTTGTGCTCGTTTAACATTAGATGAATATGTTAGAAAACAATACAGATATTGTGTAAAAAATAATGATAAATAAGGTAATGCTGACACAGTTTGTAAACAAACTGGAAATATAATTAACATTTATTATATATGTTAAACTGGAAATATAATTAACATGTATTTCATTCATTTATCTTAGAATATACGTTTTAAAACACATTTTTATGTTACTTGTTTACTTATTCATAAATTGTGTAATTTTGACACTAAGAAATGTTGAATATTAATTGTTACACAAAATGTTTAAATAACATCACGAATATGTTAAAAAATTCAACACAAACAGTTAACAAGAACGTGAGTGGACCGTTTCCAACACAAATACACAACATTTTTTATTGTGTAGCGTTTTAATTCTCACAGTGTTTGCTGTCCATTACAAAATGTTACAACAATGGGCAATTTTGTCGTGTTGTTCAATTCTTTGTCTTTGAATTCTTCGAATTCGTCAAAAAAATCTGCTGTTTCGAAAAACAATGTTAGCATCGAGACACCCCGATGTACACACATGCACATGTGTGAAACTTTTGTCCTAGCCGTATCGCGACTTTGTTACGTGTACGTGTCATATTGCGTGACCGAGAAATCATTTTTCCAACGTGATCGCCGCGCCGATCACCGGTTAGCAATTCCCTCGTCAAGGCTCGTTGTCGTCTCTTTTTCTCTCCTCTCCTCTCTCTTTCTCTCTCTTTCTCTTTTTCTCTCTCGGCCGATGCACGTGCGAAGTAACGTTCGTGTAACTAGTTTTGCTCGTATTTAATATCCGCCGTGTGTGGCGTCATTGGTGGCTCTATTAACGAGCGAGGAGCTAGGTTGACGTCGACGTGTGCTCTTTATTCGAATCTCTTTCTCTCTCTCTCTCTCTCTCTTCAAAGCATAAATAGTTTCAACTCTGAATCTTTCTCACGATGAAAGACTTTCTTGTAGTAAATTCTTTAGCAACAGAAGAATCTAGATATTAAATAGACTAAAAAAAATCAAATAAAAGATAGAAAGATGATTGATAAAGGATAAGAAAGTTAGTCGACAATTAAATATCCTCGTTGATCCAGGAATAGCAAGTATAAAATAACCAAGACGAAAACACTATATGTCAGCTATTATGCAGGAATGTGTCTAAGCTAAAATCGGAAGGCTGGCAACTCGTTCATGCTGTCACAATTAAGCTTCAATCTTTGCCATTGCTTATGCGTGAAATTTACGATTGTCTGTTTGTCTAAAATAATAAGAATTATTAAATACGATTTACGTATTGAAATAGGTTATTAGATTGCTGGTTATTTTCCATAGTTTGATAACTAAATTGGTTGGAAGAATGACTGTGCGTGATATTTGATTTTGATAGTAATAATATGTACATGGTTTTGACGATTACAGCGCCTCAGGCGTATACGACGATAATTTAATACGATGATAACGATTTGATTCCGTGCGATGCGACAAATATCGTCGGCGTTCGATTAATCAATCGCGATGAAACGGACTCTTTCTGCGGGGTTGAAGGGAGGAGGAAGAGGGTGATAGTCGTCCCAGACGAAGGAAGGAGCCCGTTCGAGGTCGAGTTGGGGTTGCTGTACGTGCACGAGCATTGCGCAAGAGCATTCACCCCGCTCAATACTCAGCGACAGCACACAGAGATACAGAACTCTGAAAATGTACGGTCTACACATGAAAGAGAGCGAGAGAGAGAAGAGAGAAGAGAGAGAGAAAGAGGAGGAGGAGGGAGGGAGATAGGGAGAAGAGGGGAGAGAGAGAGAGAATGCGAAAGGGAGAAAGAAAGAGCGTGGGAAGCAGAGAGATCCTAGAGATGAGAGAAAGAGGAAGGGAGAGAGATTGGAGCAGGAAGAGGAAACCAGCTCTAGCGAATCATCCCAAAATGGGTTATTCTATACGTTTGTATGCGTGTATGCATATGCGTACATCTACTTTGTGTACGACCAACCCCGCCTTCGATAGTGCACCAGCAAACCGCTCGTATTTCCTATTTATTATACCGTACGACGTACGATACGCGCATATACCGGGTGTTCGAACTGTTCAAGAGATGAAGCGATATCAGAAAGTATCGTTCGACTCTCTTCAGAGAAATTGAAAACCTGGGAAAGGGAAAGTTCGGAAAAATTTTCCCTCGATAAAGCTGTCCGGATTTGATTATAATGCTTAATTTAGAATCGAGCGATTTGCAAGACGTTGTTATTAGAAGTTTAAGTTAATTAAAGAAAAAAAAAGAAACAGGAAATTTTCCAAATTTAAATTCGGGAGCGAGAAGGAAGATAGAAAGCTGATTTGACTGGATAGTATTTTTTTTTTTATTTAAATTTTGGAAAAATAAAAATTTCGATTCACATTTTTTTGTCAAAGGAGTCTTAAATATTTTTGTTTAAACATTGTTCTCACATGTATAAAAACTTCGTACAAGATTTCTGTAGAAAGATCACATTGTATGTTCAAAATTTGCATAGTTTTGCTCATGAAAAGCTTGCGTGGAAATTCTGAAGGACGTGCCTTTCGTAATGTGTAATACGCAAATGTTCACGGACATGATATAACTTTTATCGTGGCACGTGCACGAATACTTTGATTTTATCGTAAACTGTTAAGTGAAATTACGGAATAATCAGCATTGAGACATTTTCCCGTTGTGACGGCTTTACTTACAATATTTTCGTGACAAACATCGAAGCAAGGTGAATCTATTTGAAAAAAAATACGTGAAAATTTATGAAGTTAATTAAGTGGTTTTAATAATAATTTATGATATTTACAATACGTAATTTTGTACTCGGAGAGAGAGAAAGAATTTCTTTTTATGATAGCAGATAATAATTCTGTTAGCTTTAATTTGCCACAACCATCACGATACTTAATCGAATTAATTTGCTTGTAACAATGTGATTATTATTCGAATATTATTTATTTAATTAAGATTAATATCTGTCGATATTGCATTAATTAACACGAGCTACCTAAATAGCTTTTATCGAACGTTACATTATCCGATGAGATTCAATTTCGTCGGGTATAAATCTTCTTTCGCATAATTCAAAGCACTGCCCTATAACGATAGTTTTGACGTAATAGCAGGGCTGATGTCCTTGATTTCGTCATTCGTTACCTTCGTCCTGCCAGTCAGTCTCTCGTGCCAATTTCCCTCGACCTCTGCTTAATCGATTATCGTTTTAGTGCGGCTCGCGGATAGATCCCGCTCGTCCGGAATGATTAAACTCGCTTGGGTTAACGTAGGCCGTTGCGATTTTGCCTTGCTTGCCTGTCAATCGAGCAGAATATTTCTATCGAGTCATCTCATATTCCAAAATTACATTCATTTATATTTTTAAACTATAACTTGATATTACGTGCTTTATAACTTTATCGTGTAAAACAAGTAAATTTTTAAGTGCCAATCTAATCTTTTATCGTTCTCAAGTTCATTAATTTCATTAGGGAGACCGTGTCTCGTTGGCACAGTTTTCATAATTTTGGCATTAGATTTTTTAAACAATTAACTATTATGATTAAAATACTCAGTGTGATAGAGAGAACCTTTCTCTACATTTTGAAACTAATAATAGTTTTATACACTGTATATTTTCTTTGCAATAAATGAAATACGAACATGCTGCATTATAGTTAACTTGCCCCAATATGTGAGGTAAATTAGTATAATACATATCACAGTATAAATTGCCTTTGTGGTAAATTCTATATTAAATTAACAAAAATGTAATAGAAAAATAATACAAATAAAAATTAGAGAGTAGATATGTACTTCTTAGTAAAAATTGTATCTTTCAAAGTTATTTTGTAATCATCAAACAGCAAAATGTTGTTACAGAAAAACAAATATAAATTATTTTAGTTTTACCTTATTTTAATATAGAAATATTAAATACAAAGTGTTTTGTCAGAGTTAAATGATAAATGAATGTTCACACGTACGGTACAATAAGTCAACCTAATCTTTTCTTATGATATGAACCGAAATACTCCATCCCTACACACGTCTGATTTTAACCATTTTATTGTAATAAATTACTATTGTTGCTCAAAATAACGTGTTGCATACTAACAAACACTTTTTTTAACTTTTAATACTTTTCTTTAACTAATAATATATCACTTAGATTTGCTTTTTCAAGCCGAAGGACATTAATATGAAATTATGAAATGATCAAAAATTTATTTACCTGCTCTTGAATTAGATTTTTTCTTTTTCTATTGTATATACTTGTTTAATTTAAATGAAACTTAGGGAGAAGTACTTATGTTGTAAAAGAGATATTTTGCAGTAACTTTTCCATTGTTTCTTTTGCCACAAATACATAAACGGAACGCAATACCAACTTACCTCTTGTGCCAACGAGTCTCCTCTACATTGTATTTGTGTTGAAATCGGTCCACTCAAGTCCTTGTTAAAATTTTGTGTTGAATTTTCAACACATCCGAGTGTTAATTTAATACAATGTGATTATGTTGTTTAAATATTTTATATAAAATTAATATTTAACATATCTTATAGTGTCAAAATAACAATTTATGAGTAAGTGAAAAAATAACAAATGTAGTGTTTTTAAAACATAATTTCCAAAATAAATGAATAAATATGTGTTAATTTAACATTCATAAATGATAATTTTACTGAAAAAAATCTACAATTTACTTACAAATTGTGTCAATGTTATATTTTTGTCTTAATTTTTTTTACATTTTGTGTTACTTTCTGATGTATTCATCTTGTGTAAACTTAACACAAAAGTTTGAACGGACCGTTTAGGACACGTGAAATGTGTTAAGTTTAACACAAATTTTTCATTGTCGATGTTTGAATAATTCTTGGCTCGATTATCTTGAACATTCCAACTTAACTTTCTGCGGAGCTCTAAATTCAAAGGGGAAAGTTACTTACTCTTGGCTTGTTTATCGTCCATCACTGAGAAAGGTCCCGCGTCACTCGACCCGCCGCCATATGCCAGCTTCGTGCAAATCGTCGGCATCTGTCCGCGACCGGGATCTGCGAAAGCGAATTCGCCGCTGCGGTGATGGTACCCTTTAGCGATCGCCGGAGACGATACGCGTTTGCCTCGTCGCGAGGGAAAGTGAGCGCGAACTCTCTCGTCGTCCTCATCTCCGTCGCGGTCGTCGCATCGCGGTCTAAAAAAGGTCCAACCGACTTTCTAACATCGGGCCAATTCGTGATATATTGTTTTATTGGCCCTCAAAAACCTTCGGTGTCTTGCGAAATCATCGTTTCCAAAACTTCCATCTCGCTCGATAATTCACGCAGAACTTATTTACGAAAAATGTTTCTGCGAACCACAAATCGCGTTTTTTATTTATTCCTTTGCTTCGACAGACTGTGCACACGTATTATAATTTTGTAACTGAATGAGAATCAAGTTCGAGTGTTATGTCGATTATGATGTCGATATATAAAAAAAGATTTGTTTGAAGTTTATAAAAAAAAAATGCGCTAAAAAAAGAATATTTTCTTACAATTAATATAGGAGAGTTGAATGTAATAAACAACAATAAATGACATTAGACCGTGATAGATATGTGACATAAATATTGGATTGTCGTGCTTCATAATATTTCGGTGTGAATTTATATAAATATTTATATATATATATCCAGTTTTGTAAATTATGCGTCAATTTAATTTTCGGTCTCGAATAATATTGGATTGATACATAAGTTCATTCGGTTTTTTTAGGGTGGAATGAAACAATTTTATATATTCTATTAAAAAAAAATTCGCAATTATACTATTCGATAGAGTAAAGTTTCAGCTTTAAGAATCTTTAAGAATTTTTTTTTAATTGCGGTACGATAATTTTTAACTGAGTTATAATCGAAGTCAGAGTGCTTTCTTGTTTCACCAACGAGTAATAATAAAAAATCGTAGGAACATGTTTTGAAAATGAATTTTGAGGGAAAATTTTAAGCTTTCACGTCAGATAGTCGAAATTTGTACAATTTTTTTTGGGTACGTTACAAGCCTACAAAATGGGAAGAATATTTTCCATTTTTTTAGTTCATAGTTTTCTATATATAAAAATTACCAAACTCACATAAACTACTCTCACTAAAAAAATATAGTAACCCCTTCCAAAAAGTAAAGACTTCAAGCTTTAAAACTTTTTTTTTAATTTAAATTTTATTTTTAACGAAAATATTGTATATACAACTTTAAGCTACCGAACAAATTTATTTGCCAACCCAGTCATCACAAATTAAATTAACAAATAAAATAATATTAATGCTAGGCAACTTAAAATACTGAAAAGAATTTATTGCGCGATTTAATAATCTTACAGTCTCTGTAAGACATGGACGTCGCGTTGAAATTTTCAATATATATGGAATGTTTCACGGCGACGCGTTTTATTTTGCACGATTGAAAAACGCACAAAAAGAAAGATTTCTCCTTAAACAAAGCTAGATAATCGAGCGCGCGGCTACTCGTATTTGGGTTATCATAGACGGTGCCGAGGCTTTCTAGCTTTCTATGCTTATGCCAAGGATGTCCACATTACGAAGGATCCCCCACGCACATTTAGCTTCACGCATTAGTCAGGCCATTATGCGAGGCGCGCGACGTGTCGAGTCCTCCACCTCGTTCATCCGTCTTGGCCGTTTAACCCTTTTCGCGTTGATTATATTTTACGATCTCTCGGTCGTCATAAGCTGTCGTTACGCGTGCACGAGTTCACCGGAGGCTCGCGGTAGGATATTTTCTTGCGCCGGAGCGACATTATCGTCGTTTTATCTTTTTTCATTCGATAACTTAATTATTACAACCTTGGCTCCGAAAGTGCGGAGCAATCAATCGAGGTAAGATAAACATGAAGCTCACGCCGCCGAAAGTCGATTAAAACGTGCGATAAATCAAATTTAACAAATTGTTTTTATTTCATATCTTTTAACCGGATATTAAAAACTAAATACACACTGAGAGAAAAGTGTTTGATATTTGTGACTATAATTGCATGATAAAATAATTATGGTTAGGAGCTGCATTTTTGTAATTATTACTCCTACAATGTTAGTAATAATAATTATATTTATATAGTTGTATATAAAATATATAGTGGCAGTGAAAATAACTATAAATTATAGTTAAATTATGGAAATTGTATAATAACTATTTTTTTTTTTTTCAATACAGAGAATGGCTGTTACGCAGAAATGTGCCATTTATTAAACGCGCGCTTTCGCACTCTTGGCCAAGGTTTTATGTTCTCGCACACGCAACTTTGTAAGAGATTAACGGGCTAAAATTAATCATCTTAAAAATATGTCGTAATATCGTTTAATTTTACGGCCCCCGCAATAGGTGCGTGTGTCACGCGTCCAGTTAATTTTATCGTTAAAATGCTACACCGTATTTTATCATTACACGGTTATATCGCTCGTGAATGACTAGAAACTCATACGATTCGCACGTTCACACTTGTGCACGTGTAGAGGTGCTTTTGGTCGAGCGCTATAAATATTTGGATCAAAAATTGCATCGTCGTCCTCACTTTCGCGACGGCGAGGTCATCGCAAATCGATCGCTCGCTCAAACACGTGTGTCGTTTACTTTTTTTATACAATGTAAGGGAAAAGTAGGGAATATGATGGAATAGCGTTTTTTAAATTAACATTGCTCCGATATAAATGCACATGAAGACTTAAAATTTATACAGAACTCTCGACGAATATGTTAGCTATAACAACATCCAATAAATGAAATTCGCCAAAATTTAAGTCTAACGTCAATATTGGCAAAAAAAAAATAAAAAGTGTGAAAATGGGGGGGTCCAAAAAATGAGATGTAATATGAAATACTCCTGAAATTTAGGTAATAGTAATAAATAACACAATAAATGAAATCAAAATTTGTTTACTTGTGTAAACCGATTAAGAAAAATAATTACAAATAGTTCACATTTTTATTGTACAATAACACAGAAAATATAATAGCATTATTGGACATCATTACAATAAAGAATAAAATCAAATCTTGAATCATTAAATTATGACGTACAATTTTTTGCGTTAGTTGCTCCACAATCTTCGTGTGTCCACCGATAACATATTGCGTATTGCACTCAGATTTCTCCATGTTTGTCATCCTTGAAACTGCCATTGCAAAATAGACATTGTGTATCTTCATCATCGCTTAATGTGTCATCTTTATGAACATCATTGTCTGTACCGCTTCCATCATTTATTTCATGGCTTTTCTTCTTAGAGAATAGCTTTCTTCTTTTGCAGTAGGCTTGTACTTATTTATTTCCTTTCTTTTTTATTTTTACTTGACTCTTGCTATTTAGCGCATTTTTCATTTTTTTACGATAAGGTGACGAATGTTAAAATACAAGTTGAACCCGCACGATTTGAAGTTGTGGATCGTGAAATGGGTACAGGCATAATGTCGGATAGTAATATTGCATTACTGGGTCCAGGCATTGATTTTTCGAGTACGTTAACAGTTGAATTCATAGATGATTGCGTACCTTGACTTATTGTTACAGGTTGAACAGGAAAATTATAATCTTGAAAAATATGTCTATTCAGTGGATAAAGACCAGTCTCCCTGAATGCATTCACAGAAATTTCCATTGTTGCGGAGCGGTTGTATGCAGCAGTAAATAATTTAGCTACACGATATACAGTTACATTTGCATTATATATACTCGGACCCAAGAAGATAGAGATACTAATATATATAGTATATATTAGTATCTCTATCTTCTTGGGTCCGAGATCTTAGAAAATTTTCAATTTCTTGTGCGTAATATGTTTTCAAAGGTTTCATAAATTCTACGTCTAACGGTTGCATTATATGAGAACTATGTGGTGGCAAGCATATTATATGAACAAAATTATTTATTGCCATCTCGTTTACTTCTGTACTTTTTGTATGTGAATTATGTTCATCTAAGAATAGTAATACAGGATTAGTAGTACTTGGGACTGTGTGTTTTATAAAGTGATCAAACCACATTGTAAAAATTTCCTTTTGAATCCATCTGGATGGATGACTGGTCCATATTGAACCCGATGGGAGCGTTATCCATTAATTCCAATTTTATATTCTTTCTTGGCCAAATTATTAAAGGAGGGATATAATTGCCGACTGCGTTCATACAAATAACTACAGTAATCAAATTTTCTCTCTCTAGAGATGTTAATGCACCGACTTCTTTTGACACTAATGACTTTTTCCAACTTATGCTGGACAACTGTGATTTCCAGTCTCATTTACGTTATATATTCTATGAGGCTGTCGATTAATTTTATCATATGCAACTTCATATAAATAAAAAAAAGTGTTTACATTTTCCCTATTAAATTCGGCTATTCTTGCACTTGAAGTAACGTGTGGTGTTCTTAATGCAAGATTCGGATGTCGGCGTAGAAATGCTTGAAACCAACATTTATCTGCTTCTTCATTGCAAAATGGATGCGGTAAATTATTTTTTATGGCAAGTTGATACGTCATTCGTTTTACATCCCGTTTTTTTTATTCCAAAAAAGTAGAATCCATTTGGATACAGTATTCAACAAGTTTCTTTTCCAATTCTAGTCACAATATTGATTTTTTACCCAAAGGAATATTTACTTTTTTTTCTGGGTGAAAGAAATTCATCTTTTACATATCTAAATAAAGATCTAGGTACATTATATTTCTTTGCTGCTAAATATCCACATTTTCCTGATCGAACATCTTCGATTGCTTTCACCATTGCAGATTTATTCCATTTATGACGTTTAGAACGTTTCCTTGACTGTTCAGGATCTGTCTGTTTAGAATTTGACATCTGTACAAATACAATTAATTTATAAGATATTTATTACACAACATAATGCAATTGATTCTATAAGAATAATCTATAATCTCAACACAAATAAGCTGATAATGTGGAATACATTCTATAACCTAACCTACCTGATAGCGAATAAGTTGTTAATATGGAACCTATTCCATATTCTCAATCCTCGATGTAT